GAGCCTGTGCTCCGCAGCGGGAGAGGCCACAACAGTGAGAGGCCTGCAAACCGCAAAAAAAAAAAAAAAGGCCACGAAAAAAAAAAAAAAAAAAAAAAAAAAAAGGAAATGAAGAAATTAACAATAACACCTAGACTTGTGATAATCAATTAAAATAATGTAACTGAAGTGCTAAAAATAGTTCCCAGGGTACAGTAAGTGCTATGTATCACAGTTACTTCATCATTATCATAATTATTTATCACTTGTTTTTTAGGATTGTTTTAGGTATTGTTTTTAGGTTTAATCTCAGTAATGTTTTATTTTCCTTAAGGGCAGAGACAATATCTCACATAATTTACAGATTTCTCATTACTCCTACATATATATATATATATTTTTTAAAATTTATTTATTATTTTTGGCTGTGTTGGGTCTTCGTTTCTGTGCAAGGGCTTTCTCCAGTTGTGGCGAATGGGGGCCACTCTTCATCACGGTGCGCGGGGCCTCTCACTGTCGTGGCCTCTCTTGTTGCGGAGCACAAGCTCCAGATGCGCAGCCTCAGTAGTTGTGGTGCACGGGCTTAGTTGCTCCGCGGCATGTGGGATCTTTCCCGACCAGGGCTCGAACCCGTGTCCCCTGCATTGGCAAGCAGATTCTTAACCGCTGTGCCACCAGGGAAGCCCCCTGCATAGTTTAAATATCTTACAATTTTGTCAATTATACTTCAATAAAGCTGGAAAAATAAACAATAAAAGAAAAAGAAATTACTGATTTTTTTGGATAGAGCTGTGATAGTACTTTTGTGATTATGTTTATATTTTGGCCACACTGTGCAGCGTGCGGGATCTTAGTTCCCAGACCAGGGATCAAACCCGTGCCCCCTGCATTGGGAGCATGGAGTCTTAATCACTGTACCACCAGGGAAGTCCCTGTGATTATGTTAAAAAGCAGAGTCTCAGGAAAGGTTTCTCAGAAGAAGTCAGGTCTAAGCTGAATTGGAAAGACCAACAACAGTGTGTAAAAGTAAAAGCCCAAGAGGATAGCACATGTGGGGAATTCTAAATAGTCTCACAGGGTTGCAACACAGTATTCCTGTGGTGAAACTAGTTGGAGAGAAGGTTAAAGTATAGACAGCAGCCAGACCACGATTTTATTAATGTATGTGATGAGAAACTACTGGAAGATTTTTTAAAAGGAAGAAGTGAAAGTGATATTATAGACAATATGTATTAGTTTTGAGCAGAGACTAAGGGGTCAGTCTGGATGCAAAGAAATAAGCTTAGCGGACATTAAGGTGATTTAAAGTAGTAATCCCTCTAAGATATGAGTGGCATAAGGATGGAGAGAAGGAGCATCAATTTTGAATGAAGGAACACTATCAAGCACACCACATCTGCATAATGGGAGACACAGAAGAAGGACAGGGAAAGGGGCAGAAAGAGTATTTGAAGACATACTAACTGAAAACTTCCCAAATTTTATGAAAAACCGTAATCTATACATCTAAAAGCTCAAAATCTGTGTAAGCAGAGAAGGGAAGAGCAAATATGCTAAATAGAATCAGAGTAGGTAGGAAGTGTACCAAGTACAGGAAGCATTGATTAGCATTTGTGATGACACATAACTTGGTGAAAAGGGTGTTCAAGTTACAGTCACACACAACGATCATGTACAAAGATGGTTTGACAGGAGGTTCTAAAATGAATAAGCTAGTTTTCCCAAATGGAAAGTTAACTAGATAAACATTATCCCTCATCTCCTAGAAGAGTAAAATTTTAGATGGCCCTACTTATTATAAAGCTTCAAACATGCTACATGTGACAACATGGATTAATTTTTAAAAAGTTGACTCCCCCTACAAAAGTAGGTTGCAGAATATATATAGAATGATAACATTCATAGAAAATTTTAAAACAAATAGTGCCATATATATTGCTTCTAGATACATGTAAATGTTGTAGACATAGAAACCATGTAAGCAAATCATGGACACCAAATTCAGGATAGTAGTTATTACAGGACAGGGAGGCAGGGAATGAGATTGGGGAAGACTACACAGCTGTATCTGTAATTCTTCCTGATTAACAGAGAGAAATCAGGGTGGGGTGGTTTTGCAAGGATAGCAAAATGTTAGTATTAGGTGGGGTTGGGTGATAGATACAGAGATGTTTCTTATATTATTATTATCTACAATTTTTTCTATACTTGAAACACTCCACAATTTTAGAAATTACTCAAAAAGTTAAAAATAAAACAAAGAGACACTTTCTATATTCAAGGGTAACAAGATATTCCTTAAGAGTTTATCAAATTATTTAAAGTTGGGACTTCTCTGGTGGTGCAGTGGTTAAGAATCTGCCTCCCAATGCAGGGGACACGGGTTCGATCCCTGGTCTGGGAAGATCCCACATGCCGCAGAGCAACTAAGCCCCTGTGCCACAACTACTGAGCCTGCGTTTTAGAGCCCATGAGCCACAACTACTGAGCCCTCGTGCCACAACTACTGAAGCCCGCGTGCCTAGAGCCCATGCTCTGCAACAAGACAAGACACCGTGATGAGAAGCCCGCGCACCACAACAAAGAGTAGCCCCCGCGCGCCGCAACTAGAGAACGCTTGCGCACAGCAATGAAGACCAAACGCAGCCAAAAATAAACAAATAAATTTTTAAAAAATTATTTAAAGTTGTTGCAAGCAACCAAATAGGTCAAAAAAGTCATTAATTTTAAAAGATGCATCATTTTACTAGAAAAGTCAGGTAATAAAAAACTGAAATCAATGAGAAAGGTGTGGACTTTAAAAAAGTGAAGTTTAATAATAAAAAGGAAACATGTCCTGATGACCAGTGGCTTTGGTTTAACAAAACTTGGGAGAAGAAACCAGGTCTCAACACCTATCTGATCATCTTCTAATTCAGAATTTGGTCTGATTGTTACAATCCTAAGAAAGTACCACTAAAAACCTATGAAGGGAAAAGAGTGAACAGAGAAGAAATTAATCCCATCATGAAAATGTCTTCACATAAGTTTAAATATGTGTTTTACAATTAATGTATGTGTATATTTTGTCTACTTTAAAGTATATGATATGCTCAAAATAATCAGTCCTAATAAATTAGTAATTGTAATTTAAAATGTTTACAGTGATTTAATTTAGTTTGTAATTATTGGTAAATGTTAGAAAAAAATTACTTTCACAATTTTATTAGATATGCTTAATAAATGCAAGCATTAAAGTATAAATAGTTGAGGTGTTCTTTTCTCCACACAAAAGTCTCTTGAATGTTAAAAAAACAAATCAAGGGGGCTTCCCTGGTGGCGCAGTGGTTGAGAGTCCGCCTGCCGATGCAGGGGACACGGGTTCGTGCCCCAGTCTGGGAAGATCCCACATGCCGCGGAGCAGCTAGGCCCGTGAGCCATGGCCGCTGAGCCTGCGCGTCCGGAGCCTGTGCTCCACAACGGCAGAGGCTACATCAGTGAGAGGCCCGCGTATGGCAAAAAATAAAAAAAATAAAAAAAAAAAACAACAAATCAAGGGATGATATAATTGGAAGGTCATATTTGAGATCTATTTAGGAGGTAGAATGGATAGGACCAGCTGGTGATGATAAGGAGGGGCATTTAAGGTGACTTTCAGGTTTTTGGGTAGCATAACTGGAGGGAGAGGTAAGTAACATCTATCAAGATGGAGACAACATAAGAAGTGAATAAAGTTTTAAGTATAAGATGAAGAAATCAGTTTTGTATATTTTGAGTTCTAGGTATCTGTAAGATTTTAAGTGGAAATGTTTAGAAGGTAGTTGAAAATATGAGTCAAGTTCAAAAGAGAGATCTGAACAGAAGTCAGAAGTCTTCAAGTAGGTGGTAGCTGAAGTCACAAATGGGACCAAGAAAGTAGAGTGTATTGTACAACACGGGAAATACAGCCAATATTTTGTAATAACTGTAAATGGAAAGTAACCTTTAAAAATTGTATAAAAAAATTAAAATGCAAAAAAAAAAAAAAGAAAGAAAGAAAGAAAGTAGAGTGCATGGTAGCAAGAGTTCGCAACCGGGCTTCCCTGGTGGCGCAGTGGTTGAGAGTCCGCCTGCTGATGCAGGGGACATGGGTTCGTGCCCCGGTCCGGGAGGATCCCACATGCTGCAGAGCGGCTGGGCCCGTGAGCCATGGCCGCTGAGCCTGCGTGTCCGGAGCCTGTGCTCCGCAACGGGAGAGGCCACAACAGTGAGAGGCCGGCATACCGCAAAAAAAAAAAAAAAAGAGTTCGCAACCACCAACATAGGCATTAGCAGATAGAGAATCTATCTCTGCCCTGGGTGCACTGGACAGAGAAGATTCAAATACGCATAGGACTGAGTTTTGTTATACTACACCATGAAACAGCTAGGCCAACAGCAGGAAATCCTTGTTATACAGTCATTTTCACTTTAAAAATTTTATTTCTTAATAATTCCTTTTCTATCACCTCTTCATATATCAGTAGATGGCACTCTACGGTCACTTTCCAACTATTTTTTCCTCTTAGTGGTCACTCATGGAATATTCCTGGGCATCAGTGACCCTGGAATTAGCCTGAGCTGTCCTACTGAAATAAAAAACATACCTACATGGAGCTGATTTCCGGTCAAGCATGAAATATATGAATTAATAGTGCTGCATTGTAAACATGGGTCCAGAGAGTTTTGTCCCTGGTCTTGGTGAGCCACCTGGTGGGCTCGGCTGTTGAAGCTGGTTACTCAGCAGGAATATGGCAACACAACAAGCAAATCCCACTTGAGACTACGTCTTGGGCTCCCTTGTTCTGAAGCATTTTGTGCACACATCAGTGGTTTCTGATTTGAGAGAGAGTGCGTACTGCCACAGCCCTTATACGAGAAGGACAAGAGGAGCCTGCACCCGGCCTCTCCAGACCCCTTACCATCAGGCAGTCTTTGGCTGTGATGATATCCTTACTTCAGTGCTACTGATATATTGTACTGTTTTACTGTAATAAACTGTAGATTTGTAATCACTCTCATGTGGGGTCCTGTGAGTATTCTTTAGCAACTGAACCATATTTAACTGCCACCGTTAGTGCCATTAGTGTACCAGGAAGCCTGGGTAGAACATGGGGCTGTTTGCTCTGGTGGGAAAAGCAGAGAGTCTGAGATCAGATAAAACCATGGTCATGGCTCCTCACTAGCTGGTTTTAAGACTTCTGATTCTTGGGAATTCCCTGGTGGCACAGTGGTTAAGAATCCACCAGTCAATGCAGGGGACACGGGTTTGAGCCCTGGTCCAGGAAGATCCCACATGCCGCGGAGCAACTAAGCCCGTGCGCCACAGCTACTGAGCCTGTGCTCTAGAACCTGTGAGCCACAACTTCTGAGCCTGCGCACCTAGAACCCGTGCTCCACAACAAGAGAAGCCACCGCAATGAGAAGACTGCATACCACAATGCATAGTCCCCGCTTGCCACAACTAGAGAAAGCCCGCGCGCAGCAACTAAGACCCAATGCAGCAATAAGCAAACAAACAAATAAATAAATAAAATAGTAAAAAAAAAAAAGATTTCTGATTCTCAGTTTCCCCACCTAAAAATCAGGTTGATATCTACCTCCCAGGGCCCCTGAGAGGATTAAACGGGATAATGTATGTACGATTAAACCTTTGGCATGTCAAATGCACTTAATAAATAACACAATAAGTGAATGAATATCAGTTCTCTTATAAAGTGCAAATAGACAGGAGGAAAAAGAAACTTCAAAGTCTAGATTTTCACAAAGAAATAGACAATATGAGAAACGTAATGACCTGGGGTGGGGATGAACTGGGAGATTGGGATTGACATATATACACTACTATGTATAAAATAGATAACCAATGAGAACCTGCTGTATAGCACAGGGAACTCTACCCAATGCTCTGTGGTGACCTAAATGGGAAGGAAATCCAAAAGAGGGGATATATGTACACATATAGCCGATTCACTTCGCTGTACAGCAGAAACTAACACAACACTGTAAAGCAACTATACCCCAATTAAAAACAAATAAACAAACAAGCAAAAAAACAAAACAAAAGAACCCCACATTGACCAAGAAGAGATGGTAAATGGGAAATTTTGTAAGGAAGTACCTGGAGAGGGGCTGTCTGGCCAGAAACAGAACTTCTCATGGGCAGTACACAAGGCTTTCTTCAGCTCAGCACATCGTTCCTTATCTGAAACCCGCATAGATAACAATGCCTTAAAAACAATGTCTTATATAAATTCAAAATCCAATGACCAAAAGCCTTTAAGAGTATAGATACAACTAAGAATTAAAATAACTCAGAAAAATTTTAAAGATATGAAATATTAGCAACTGAATCATCTTAATATTTTTCACAAAACAAGTTCTAAATCAAGATTCTAAAAGCAATAACAAAGGAGATATCATGTATCTTATAAGGCAGGCATTCCAAAATGTGAGCCTTCACAAAAGTCCTGTGTCTCTTAGCCTAAGTATAAATTTCGGAACTATAAAATAAACATACTGCTGTTAGTTTCCCAGAATACACAAAGTCAGGTTCACTCTAAAGTAGCTGAGCTTTTTAAAAAAAAAAAAAAAAAAAAAGTAATGACTAAAGCTAGTAATTAGGGTGAAGACAATCACAACTTCACCTTGTTATATACAGAAGTACACATTCTTTGATCAAACACAAGTGACTGGTCATTTCAGAAAAACTAGTATAGGGCTTCCCTGGTGGCGCAGTGGTTGAGAGTCCGCCTGCCGATGCAGGGGACACGGGTTCATGCCCCGGTCTGGGAGGATCCCACATTCCGCGGAGCACCTGGGCCCGTGAGCCATGGCCGCTGAGCCTGTGCGTCTGGAGCCTGTGCTCCGCAATGGGAGAGGCCACAACAGTGAGAGGCCCATGTACCGCAAAAAAAAAAAAAAAAAAAACTAGTATAGATATCTTTTGAATATGGAGAAAAATGTAATTTGTACTTTATACTTACATCTGTCAAAATCAAAAGCTGGTTGTAAAGTGGCACAGAGAAAAGCTTGACAGCTGGAGCACTTCAGCATATCACATTCAACTGTGACCCAGCCATATTTTGCACAGACCAGTGGAGACAGCTCAGGGGGCTTACCTGCCCATTTCAAAGAGTATTCACATTAAGAAAAACAACATGCATGTACATTAAAATGAACAAGTCAGAAATGAAAACTTTAACTCAATGTATATAGGAATAAACACATTAAGAGGAAAAGCAACAGGAAGCCCTATGTATTTTATATGTTTAAAATGTTTATTTTATTATTGGTTGTGGGGTACAGTAGAAAAGCCATTCGCTTTTGCTTAATATGAAATACTAGGGATTTGAAAACACTAGTGAAAGCACTGGGATTTGCCTAAGCAGTAAGGGATGGTGAAGGTCAAACAAGCTGAAATATTTTATCACTCATCTCTGCTCTCCTATTGTATCATATCCACTTTTGCCTTCTGAAGAATAAAGTCAGTAAAATTAATAATATTCATTATTCCTCCCTACCCCAAATTTGATTGTTATATACTAACGTGTGTGTGGTATGTGTGTTTTACGTAAGCTGAGAGCATCAAGAGCATCTGTAAGTATGTGCATGGGAGATATGTCCTAAAATATTTATTGATCTTTAATATTCAACACTCAGCTTTTTCTATTTTACCTATAGAGCTCTTGTTTTACAGAGCACAGGAAAAAAAAAGGATAAAACATAAAAGATGCAGGAAAGTTCTATATTTTTACAAGGGATATAGGAACTTGAAAACATTCTAATAGCAGCAAAAGGAGAACTGAAGGCTAGAAACAGAATCTAAATATAAATGTTAAAGGAGTTTGGATTATGTAGAATAAAAGTAATAGAATCACTTAACTAGCTTAAGTTAAATAAATAATTATATCAAAGTGGCAATCAATTTATATCCAATGGGAACCAAAAAACAACAAAAGAAAATGATTTTAAATGCTTTGTCAATATCAGGAATTAATCCAAGAAACAGCAGTAGGAGCATGGTTAAAATACTTTCCCCTTCCTGAACAATTCAGTCCTAAAGCCACCAGGTGGTGAACAAGGCAGAGGATTAAGCCAGGAGGGTAGGGGAGACAGCTCATCGCATGGTGTCAAAAGGCAAGTCGGGTAAAGAGGGAGTTCATACAGAGGGGGACCTACCTTGGGGTGCTGTAGCGAAGTGGGGTGTAAAGAGCAACTACATGGGGCTCCCACTCACCAAATCAGGGGCAACTGGAATCTCAAAATATATAATAGTAATGGATTATGACCCATTGAATAAAAAAGGAAATCATGAGCCCATGCTGCTACAATAAGTTACATAAAGTTTGATGAGGAATGTGATATTTACATGGTTTCAAAGCACATCCCCACAAAAGTTTAATTACAAAGGAGGAAAAAGCTACTTTACAATGGAAAACACCGACAGACACTCCCTTAATCAACTGATCAAAATGATGATCGAGGGTAAAGGGACAGATCAAAATCATGTGCCACCTGACAGGATGCAAAGAGAACACAGCATTACTTCTCTGATATTCCTACATAACCTGAATCTAATCATAATGAAACATCAGACAAATGCAAGTTGAGATACACTCTATAAAATAACTGGCCTATAATCTTCAAAAGTATCAAGGTCATGAAATTCAAGGAAAAACTGAGGATTCTCAACTGGATCCTTTTGCTATAAAGAACATTATTACTACAATTGATGGAATGATTATGATGTAAGGGTTATATGGCAGTAATTTATTATGTGAATTTCCCAATTTTGATGGTTTCATTGTGGTTAGGTAAGAGAAAGACCTTGTTTGTGGGAAATATTTGGGGGTAATGAGGTGTCACTTTGGCAACTTACTTTCAAGTACTCACAAGGAAGTTCTTTGTAACCTGTGCAATCTTTCTATAAGTCTGTAATTGCTTTAAATTAAAAACACTCTAGCAAATAGAAAATGGCAAAAGTGATGTGATGTCAGTTGAGACCTTGCTTCTATCTTGCTCTCTCTTGCTTGCTCACTCTGACTGAAGCCCGCTGCCATGTTGTGAACTATCCCTGTGAAGAGCCCACGGAGCTCCAGCCAAATTTCTTACCAAGTTTAATTCTAAAAATTAAAAACATCAGAGAAAGTGGTGTAACTCCTAGAAGAATAATTCCAGAAGCAGGCAGAAAGTGCAACTCCCTCGAACCAAAAAGGATATAGAAAAGGTTTCCACTCTGCTAAAGAAGGCTTCTTTGCTTCTAGATTCCAATAGAGGTTCTTCTGCTCGGGGTGATCCATTAACTGACTGGAGTGTGGCAGATGTGTCCTTCCTAAAATAAAGTGGCAGAACTATTGGTAATCCTTTCAAGGCATCACTTTGCCTAAACGTTTTCTACCTAGCTTCTCTGCACATTGTATCATCAATCATGCCACTCTGGATTTTAACCTTTCTAAATATCCTTTCAGTCAGGTAATTTTTCTGTTTAACACTGTCAATAGTTTCACAATACTTATTAAGCAGAATCCAAATTCTTCAGACTGGCATTCAAATCTCTACAGTTTGGCCATAACTAAGTTTCAAGCAATTTCTACCTTGACCATGCTTCACTAATCCTATACTGGCAAACTATGCTACCTCACTCATTGCTCTCCAACAGTATTTTGCATAATTTTTGTAAACACAAAATAAGACTCAAGGCTTCTGTGCATCATCCAATTTGAACCATCTTAGAAATTTAACTATTTTAACAGCAGAAAATGACAATTTTGATATTTCTACCTGGATTGATCCTTGCTATGCACTTCTTCCCCAAAGGAACTAATTTGAAAATTTCAATCAAAGTAAAGAATTTTAGCTATTTCATGAAAAAATTCAAGGAGAAAAAAACCAGCAAAACAATTCTTTTATATTCAGTGAAAGGCATTTCAACAGCACCTGGGAAGTGTAGAGGGAGGAACTGCTGAAGACAAAAGTAATTTTAATAAAAGTAAGATTACACCAACTATTATAACTCAAAATAAAGTAATTTATTCTGAGAGTGACAGCCTCAGGGAGGTGTGGATCTTGGAAAAAATTCAGAGCTTCCATAAACTTGGATAGAAAAAAATGACATTTATTTTGGTAACCTCTAACTGAAATGTAGCATTTCCCTCCATTATGAATGAAGATAATTTAAAAAACCACAGTAGCATCAGCAGTACCTGTAAATTTGTCATCAATGGAAATCACAGGTATTTTGTCACCACATTATGGTTGTTGCACATGTTTTGAAATACCGTTTATGCTCTCGCTACTTCAAAATTATGGTAGATAACAGACCTATTACTAGATATTATTTAACTCTTAAATAATGAAGCGTTTCACTGCATCACTCTTTTTCTTTTACTTCTTGATAACTGCATTCCAACGTAATTGGTATCCTTTATAATCCTATGTAATTTACTTTATGCATTTAAAAATATAATTCTGAGACGGTGTTCATAAACTTTACCAGGCTGCCAAAGGTGTCTAGGACTTCAAAAGGTTAAGAAGTCTAAGAGAAATCAAGTGCGCATATTCAGTTCGCGGTCCTGTCTTTTACCTTCCTCCCAAAACCTGTCTTAAGGCAAAATTGCGCCCAGTACCTCCCGAGCAGAAGATTAAAGCCGACTGAGCGAAGGAACCCCAGTTTCTTCAAGATCCCGAGTCGCAGCCATTCCCATCGCCCGAGTTACAGACGCAGGGTATCCTACCCTGGCCTGAGTCCCCCAAACCCTCTCCAATCCGCCGTCGCCAGACCCAGGGTGGACTCGCGGACTCACGCTTCGGCGCCTCCCTCTTCCGGGGCAATCCCCTCATCTATCAGCTGCCGGACTTTCTGGGGAGTCTCTTCTGGGGAGCGAACAACCGCACTACAATTCTTTTCGACCCCCGCGGTAAACGTTGGCCCCTCAGTGGGCGCCGCCATCTTGGTCCGTTTCCGAGTTGCTTCCCCGCGCGTGTGAAGGCTCAGGAACTTCCGTTCTGAGCGGTTAGGATCCTTTTTTGGCTTCCCACGCGTTGGCCCAAGCAACCTGCCGGGTGTCACCGCCGGGCCCAGCCCTTCCTGGCCATTTTAGAACGAGGTAGGGACTTCCCTGGCGGTCCAGTGATTAAGACTACGCGCTTGCATTGCAGGGGGTGTGGGTTCCATCCCCTGGTCGGGGAGCTTAGATCCCGCATGCCCTGCGGCGTGGCCCAAACAAACAAACAAAACCGAGGTAGACCCTCGCGGGAGGGCTCTGGTTAAACAAGATTAGTCGTTTCCTTTATGTACGAGCATACTTGGCTTGATAAGAGGTTTTTAGAGCGCTGTCTCTCCGAGTTCAGCAGTGTTGAGGGGCCCAATTTAGTCTTAAGGTAATTAACTGATAAGACTCTCCTAAGTTTATCTTTTTACATGTGAGGGAATGGCGACAGTCACTTGAGAGCAAATAATTTAGAATCCTTAGAAACACGTGTTACGGGTGGGTTTAGAAGTCTGGCGTTTGCCGTTATCGAACACTTCTTCCCTGCTTTGTCCAAAAATTATTTATTGAGGGTGTCCTACCGACGCTGTCCTCGGCGCTGGCAATGACAGCAGTGAATAAAGGAGACGTAATTTTTAGTGGAGTTAGATATTAAAAAAATACGTTTTCCTGAACTTTTGAAATTACAAGTGCTCCAAAGAAATCCCAAGGGTTAGGGTTAGGGTAAAGGAGGACCTAATTCAATCTACAGATTCTCCTGAGAACATCTGTGCTGGAGTTAAAATAGATGAGATTGTGGGAAAGAGATCTACACAGTCTCTAACAGCATCCCAAACGGGAAGGAGTTTGCCTCATATAATAAACAGAAAAAGGAGACTGATGTGACTGAGCAATGGGCAAAGGTAAAAGTGGGGCCACCCCCCCAACCCCCCCCACCCCCGCCAGCTCACTCTCTGTGGGCTCCTAACTTCAGTAGTTGTTCCCGCCCACCAGGACTTTCAGCCTATTGATCTCAGCCTTTCCATTGTTCCGAAAAACACCACCTTATTTCTTCTCTCCTTAGCCAGCTTCAGTTCGATGCCAATCATTATCATCATTCCTTTGCAAAATTTGCATATGGACAGAGAATTAGTTAATATTAAGACTTATTTAGTTTTGTTATATGTGATAATGGCACTGTGATTATGGTTTTTAAAAGTCCTTACTGGGAATTCCCTGGTGGTTTAGGGGTTAGGACTCGGTACTCTCACTGCTGAGGACCCAGGTTCCATCCCTAGTTGTGTAACTAAGATCCCACAAGCCTCGTGTCGTGGCCAAAAAAAATCCTTACTTATAAGAGATACGTCTTGAGGTGTTTATGGGTGAACTAGTGTGATGTCTGGGATTTGCTTTAAAGTTCTGGAGGAAAAGAAAATGTGAGGAGAAAAAAATTTTTTTTAATGTTTATTTATTTACTTATTTGGCTGCTCCAGGTCTTAGTTGCAGCACTCGGGATCTTTAGTTGTGGCATGCATGCAGGATCTAGTTCCCTGAATGGGGATCCAACCTGTGCCCCCTGCATTGGGAACGTGGAGTCTTAACCATTGGACCACAGGGGAAATCCCATGATGAAAAATGTTTTTAATTGTTGGATTTGGGTGATAGAGTCATGGGGGTTCATTATATTATTCTTTCTATTACTGAGTAATTTTGACAATGTCATAATAAAAAAGCAAAATATATAACTGAAAATAATACATTCTCTAGAATGTACTCTCAATTTCTTTAGACCTTTCTTGCTTTGTAGTACTCGTTTGGCAAAACCTCAATCACAGTAGAGTTCAGCGTTCCACCACTCTGCTCCTGCACCCTGTCAGCTGAATGCGGTTAAAGAAAAAATGCATGGCATGCTGACTTGTCTCTCTTTGTATTGTCGACCTCAATGGGCCCTTAATTCTGCCCAGTGATCATACTACATTTCCCTAGTGTACCTCCTCTCCTACTTTCATAGATGACTTTCATACTTCTCTCCTCAAATCTTCAGTGTCTCTTCGAATCCATCCTCCCTGTCTGCTGATGTCCTTGTTTCCTATTTCACTTAAAAAATTTAAGCAATCAGAAGAAAACTTCCACAGATTAACACCACCGCATCTACCCACTAGCATGTGGAATACTGAGAATTTTTTAAGTTTCCACATTCCCAAGGTAGTAGCCAGAAATCAGCCAGTTTTAAGTTCAGTCTATTGATAACTCACCCCAGTGAACATGTTTTGCAAGCCCAAAGACAACCCATTGATTCTGAAAATCAGCCAATCACAGACTCACTTCAGTACACACACCTCCAAGTGCCAACCAATCAACAATATTCTCATGCAAGTTATCACTCCTGCAGAGAATGTCAATACACTTAGACCTCTGAAAGGTCACCAATCCCTGAACTTCCCACTTTCTCTAAATTCAATATAAGATTAGCAGTTTGGTCTTCTCTAAACATGTGCCTGACAAGTATGACTCTCACTGCCTATAGTAAGCAATAAATGCAGCTTTGTCTTTTCATTTCATATATTGAGTGGTTGTCTTATCCTCTGATAGTACTTTACCTTTCCTCCTGTTACTATAGATCAGTGGCTCTCAAATGGGTGCAGTTTTGCCTTCCAGGGGACATTTGGCAATATCTAGAGACATTTTTGGTTATTACAGATGGGGTGATGGAAGAGGCTGGTGTTGCTGCTAAACATCTTACAGTGCACAGGACAGCCCCTCACAACAAAGAATTGCTCACCCAAAAATGTCAAACGTGTAGAGATTGAGAAAACTTGCTGTAGTCTGTGCTCCTACATAAGGCCAACCTTGTACACTCGGCCTAGTCCCCTCTGGCCTACTCAAGGACATTGCCCAGTGATTCTCCCCTCTACTGAACATTCACATCAGCATTAAGATATTATTTCTCCCGTCTTCAAAATGAGACAAAACAAAAACCTCTGATTGCAGTTCCTCGTCCAGATACCACTCCATTGTTCTGTTCTTCTTTACAGCAAAACTCCTTGAAAAAAATTACCTATCCTCACTGATTCCAATATCTTCCATTCTCCCCCTCATTCCCTCTGCTTCAGCTACACTGGCCTCCTTACTAGGCCTTGAATTTAACAGATGTAGTCCTGCCTTGAGACATTTGCACTCCCTGTGCCCTCTGCCTGGAAGGCTCTTCCAGACACCCATGTGACTTTCTCCCTTACCTCCTTCAATTCTTTGTGACTTCTTTATTCAAATGTCACCTTCTCAGTGAGACCTACCCACATCACTATAGACACTTGCAACTCCTCCCCTCCCCAAACAGACACCTGGAATTCCTCTTCCACTTACCCTGCTGTCTTCTTCTCTATAGTGCTTATCTTCTTACAGCATATGTAATTTTCTTATTACGTTTACTTCTGTCTCTCCCCATCCCCACTAGAGTATAATCTTTATAATTTTCACAAGAGTAGGAGTTTTTGTGGCATTTTGTTGTTGTTGTTCATTGCTGTATTCCCATTGTTTACAACAGTGCCTGGACCAGAGTACTCAATTAATAATTGTTAAATAAATGTATGTTAACCTTCTAAAGGATTTAGACTTTATCCTAAAAGCCAAATGTAGCCACTGAAAGACTTTAAGCAACGCAGTAGCATGCACAGTTGTGCATTTTGGGAAAAATCACTCTGAAGACGAGGTGATGAATGGATTGGAGCCAAGAGAGGATACAGAATGACCATTAGGGGGTTGCTAAAGAAACCCCAGCAAAAGATGATGATGGGCAAAGATAGCTGAAAGTGGGCAGATTCGAGGTACATTTTGGAGCTAGAAACAACAGGACGTGGTGATGGGTTATACATAGCATTTGAGGAAATAGATTTCAAGGAGGACTCCAAGATTTTGGCCTGAACAACTATGTGTGTATATATATACATGTATATATACATATATATGTATATATATGCATATATATACATATATATGTATGTATATATACACACATATATGTTTACATATTTACATGTGTATTTCCACACATACATATATATGTATATTTGTGTGCATGTTTGTGTATGGCAGACATTTTGTCTTTTTTCTATAATTTCCCAGTGCCTGGACATAATAGATGCTCTGAAAATGCCAATTTTAAGTTATGAGTCAATAAATACTTTTGAAACTTACAATTGACAAAGAGTCACTTGGAAAATGTGATGTGGAAGAAAGTTTTAGAATTAGAGATGGCCCCTCCTCCCACTTCCATCACTCACCTTGTGAACTTGTGTTCGAGGGACCTGTGGTTATGAGATTAAATGGGATAACGTCTATGAAAGTGGTTGGCACATATTAGTAGGTTCTTGGTAAGTGCTAGTTTTCTTCCCAAGCATTTTAGTATAGGTGGTGGAGGCAGTGATGCACCACCCAGATCCCCCTTCAGGAATGAGGAACTATTTCCTCCAGCCACTGGGAATACCACCAACAGGAAACCCTTGGCTGTCAGTTCCCTTAGGAGTTATTGACTGGAGAGGGCCATTTTGCCTGAGGTCGCCACCCCCCTTTCTCAAGGATATCCTTCATCCAGTGATTGATCAAGACAGAGGTATAAAAGGCCTAGCCCCTTGCCCCAACTCTGGACAATGCTAAAGGGCCATTAGCTTTAGAGTTTCCAGTAGGGTCTCCTGGGGCCTTCCTTGAGACTGCATCACAGTCCAGCCTCTCCACCTGCCCAATCCTGCTTCCTTCCCCTCCTTTCCATGGTCTTGGTCCCATGTGCCCTCCCCCAAAACTTTCATCATGTTAATCGCCCTCTCAGGGTCACCTTATCCATTTTGTTTGTCCCTGTGAAGCAGACAGCTCTGCTGATAACTCCAGTTGTCAGACTGTCTTTATTGTGTTTTTTTTCAGGTGAGAATATACAAAAAATGTATGTAGATAAGCTTTTTATGCTATGCAGGACCTCTCCTCTTAAGTCAAACATACGATGTTTGCTAGTATAATTCCTTCATGAAGTAGAAGAATTATCAAACAGCAAAATTTATATTTGTAGTGAAAATTTAGTTTCTATAAAACATGATACTTAATAGGCTTTTAATTGGGCACACATTTATCAAACATTTTGAATTCTTATGGGCTACTTTTTATTGATATATAACTAAAATAACATAAAATCCACCCTTTAATAAAGTGTACCTGTCAATGACTTTTAGGATATTCACAGGTTTGTGCG